GTAAGGACGCGCAATCACGAATGCCTGTGACAGGCTTTGACCTTTAGCAACCTTATCAGAAGAAGAGAGTGACGACATAATCAAAATATCACTGAAAGCAACATATCCATAACATGCAAGGCGCATTTGAACATCTTCAGCGACGTGCCTACTAATAGAGTTGAATTCAAGATATAAACAGGAGAGCTCACGGCTTTATCAAATAATCGCAACTTAGTTTCGATCTTACATAATAAAGTCTGATATTGAATTCGTCCAATACTGATTAATTCTTTTATAGCTGAAAGATCATCGCGAAAAAGATAAATATTCTGAATGAAAAGTAAACTAAATGAAAAGCTGATATTTAGAGAGTAAGGAACTATGAACACATTAGTAGAGACCACCGATCCCTTCCACTCCGAAGAGACGGGGTTAATCAAAAACTTCCAGAAAACATAAGCTGGCATAGTGACACTTGCATCAAGAAAATTGAAACTTGCATTCCATGCTTCTAAAGGGTATCCCAAGAAGAACGCAATTTTTAAATTTTAAATAAAACACAGATATGTAAAAAAAAATCGTGAAACTTTATTATATCGTAAAGTAGACAGAATGAGGTTATGTATGGAACAATATATCGTGCAGATGGCCGCCGCAGATGCACGCGATCTTTTAATGAAATTTTCAATGACCGTTTTGCATGAATGCTGCGGTATTTTATTAATGCAGCGTCCAATTTCCTCTTTTAAGGCTTGAGTCGTCGACGGCTTATTCGCGTAAACCATCGACTTCAAAAAACCCCAAAGAAAAAATCTAATGGTGTTAAATCGCACGATCTAGGCGGCCAATTCTGATCTCCAAAACGCGAAATAACACGACCGGGAAATGACTGATGCAGCAATTGAATTGTTTCTCTGGCTGTATGACATGTGGCGCCGTCTTGTTGGAACCACATGCCCTTCACATTCATTTCTTCAATTCTAACCAAGAAAAAACTGGTTATCATTTCACGATACCGAACACCATTGACTGTTTGCGCTTGACCTGCCTCATTTTCATAAAAAAAAAGTCCAATGATTCCTCCAGCCCAAAAACCACACCACACAGTGACACGTTGAGGATGCATTTGCTTCTCGTGAATCACTCGAGGATTTTCCTCACTCCAAATGCGACAATTCTGCCTATTGACGAAGCCATCAAGATGAAAATGGGCCTCGTCACTGAAGATGATTTTATCGGCAAAATCAGCATTTTCATGTTGTCTCTCCAATACCCAATTAACGAACTTCCTTCGCTGTCCATGGTCAGCTGGCTTCAGTTCCTGAGTCAATTGAACTTTGTATGCATGAAGATGCAAATCTTTCGTCAAAATTCGCTGCAAAGTGGATTTGGAGACACCAATTTGCTGAGCTCGGTGTCGAATTGAGGTGGTTGGAGTTTGAGCAGCTGCGACATTTTCGGTCGAACGACCTGGTCGATGGCGCGTTGTTGTCTTTACATCACTAACAGACCCAGTTTCGGCAAATTTATCCATTAATCTCTTTACAGTTGACTCTTTTGGAGCATTATTGCGACCCCAAATTGATCGCAATTTGCGAACTGTAGCCGCAAAACTTTCACTATTTTGGTAAAACAATTTCACAATGAGAATGCGTTGTTCATTCGTGTAGCGCTCCATTTTTACTAACCTCGTACCTTCTACAAGCAAACAATAACAATTGTTCAAATGTCAAACAATGACACTTCGAATGTTGCCAGATTTAAAAATTGCGTTCTTCTTGGGCAACCGTTACATTATCCGTGGCAGTGCTGAGATTAGTAACTGTCGCTTTGAAGATTTGATTTATCACGGGATGGGCCAGACATCAACAACATATTGTCGCACCTGCAGAATTTCTTGATGAAGTTATTATTAGAGATGAAGAATAAAGTTACTATAAATTAATTGATCTGGTTTTATTTTTTAACATTCGAAATAACTTTTAAACTACTAGATACATAAATAAAAAAAATTGTTTGTTGTAAAAAAGTGAGGCACTCACTATAATAATGTAAAAATATCTTTAATATTATTATTTTCAGATATTTGGCCACTGGTGACTCACATATGACAATTTCATTTAGTTACCGTTTAGGTCACACCACAGTTAATAAAATTGTCAGAGACATGCAAAATTATAGTTGACCTATTAATGAGCGAGGTATTACCCGAGATGACTATAGAAATGTGGAAAGCTGTTGCTGAAGATTTCTGGCTACTGTGGAAATTTCCTAATTGCTTAGGAGCACTAGACGGTAAACATGTAGTGATCGAAGCACCACCTAACAGCGGATCTTAATTTTTAATTATAAATCGTAATTTTCTATAGTTTTATTGGCCCTAGTAAATGCGAAATGCAATTTTATTTACGTAAATGTTGGAGCTCAGGGAAGAAATCATGATGCCTGATGATTTTTGCTACTTCTTCACTAGGGCAATGTTTCAATAATGGTACTCTAAACATACCTCAAGACAGAACTTTACCCGGTACAAACGTTATTGCACCTTTTGTCATCATAGGTGACTCTGCCTTTCCACTAAAAACATATTTATTACGTCCGTATCCATACAACAGTGGAAACCGCGAATATGACGTCTTCAACTATCGGTTAGGTCTTGCTCGTCACTGCGTAGAAAATGCTTTTGGTTTTCTTACTCAGATATTCCGAATATACCAGGGAAGAATAAAAATGCATCCAGATTCGGTTGATAATATAATACTAACAACATGCATATTACACAACTTTATAAGAAAAAATAGCGATAATGAGGTTAATCAAAGTAACATATTAGAGGATTCGAGTCTTAACAATTTAAGTCATCAAGGCGGTCGTGCTTCTCGTCAAGCATTTGGTGAACGCGAAAAATTCAAAGAATTTTTCAATTCTTCTGTCGGTATTTCTAACACGCATCATGAATAAAATACTTATTAGGACTAGCTCAATGTGTTGTGAAGCATCTTAATATTAGGTTTAAACATTATTATTATTATTACCTGCTCGTAATGTTAAAATAATGATTAAATGGTTACCTATATATTTATGATGAAATTATTAATGGTAATAATATGCAGATAATTTAGTGTGATTATAAAAGAGTTTGAAGCTTATTAAAGAGTTTAATATCATTTGACGCCTACAAAACTGTTTCTATCCCATCCCCATCCCTCACAGACTTTATTCTTAAAATGTTGTTAAGGTTACCATGAAACTAACTAGATGTTGGCATTATTGCCTGCTAACTGTTACAGAAACTTTTACAGATGATTTATATCATGAGATTAGATGAAATATAACAATTGGTAAATTATGAATGCAATAAATGAATTAAAATAAAATAACACTTACCGTTTTCATTGAGTGATAATTCGACTGCAATTTTTCGCCACAGAAAATTCTTGTACTTAGTGTCTAAATATTTTAAATTACCTAAATTATACAATGCTAGATGTGACCTTACACACTCAATTAGTTTTTCGTCGTCCATTTTCGACAATTGCGTCATCAAGACGTCACTAGTTCTCTCTTCGGAACGAACCGAGTGACTACGTAGCGGAAACACGGACGGGACGGGGCACGTGCGGGGCGGGACGTGCTAAACATCGTCGGCGACGATGTTCCGTGACATATGCTCTTTCATATACATTTTGTATGAAACGATGTTTGCAAAACTACCCGTCCCGTCCCGTCCCGTCCCGTCCCTTCCCGTCCGTATAAAAACCCGTCACGTATGCAGCGGCCTTAACTTTCAAATTTCTAAACAAATTTTTAGATTTATTTCATTTTCATATGTTGTGTCATCTAAGTTATCCTGAGAATAAAAATATAGTAGCATCATCTGCATACATCACACGTAAATGTTTTATTACGTTTGGAAGGTCATTTATATAAATAAGGAACAACGACGGACCCAGTATGCTCCCTTGTGGTACACCTAGTTTTACTTCCTTAAAGTCTGATTTAATAGATACTAAAGTTTTAGAATTACTATCATAAGAATCGATGAATGTGGCTTGTTTTCTATTTTTTATCAAGTTTATTGGCTGAACCTCTAATTCCGATGTTATTGAATTCATTTAACAGAATATTAAAATTTACACAGTCGAAAGCTTTTGACATATCTAGGAATAAGGCTGTACATCTCTTTTTTTCATTCATGGTATTCCATATGTCCTTAAAAAGTTTAAAAATGGCTAAGGATGTGTTTTTATTTTTTTGAAAACCAAATGGGTTGGGATTTAGAACATTGAAACGGTCCAAAAATTTTATTATTCTGTCATGTATGATTTTCGCAAAAAATTTTGAAAAACTAGGAAGTAAGGCGACGGGCCGATAATTATTAATTCTCTTCGACATTGAAAATCCTGTTGGGAGGAAAACTGTGGTTTCTCATTTCAGCTTCCAAAATGTCGAAAAATTCTTTAACTGCTTCACTGTTAAAGCCTTGAGTACGAGCATACGATGTTCCCATTGGTCTGCGTAGGGATAAATTGTTTTTGTGTCGCTTCAAAAAATGATCTAATCAAGCACGTCCTGCTACTTCATTTCTTAATTGATTTTCGATGTGGTTTTCGAGAGCCAGCTGATAGGCCATTTTTCTAACATCCATCCTAGTAAGTCCAAAGTATCTAGCTTCCATAAACAAAATATATTCTACTAACTTTTTTCAGGACAGGTGGAAGTACAGGCTTTCTACCAAGCGGTTTATGTATAGTCCTACCAACTTATCTGTGAAATGGCGAAAATTGGAACTACGGCCGTCATGTTGAAATGTCATTCGATTGTCAGTGTCTACTACATTCGGGTTCTCTGGTTGTTTTGTCGTGATATTGTTGAATTTATAAAGTTAAATATGCCGAAAGCTATTAAAAGTGATGCTCGAAACATTATTCTAAAGGTTAAAACCTTTTTTGAAGAAGAAGCTCGGGCGGGGTCTCCGATTATTCCATTTAATCAAATATACAAACGAATTTCGGCAGCGACAGGTTAGTGTTGTCAACTTTCTTGTTATAAATTACCCGGTACTTAACTAATTATTTAAGTCCACGAAATATTCGTTTCTATTCTTGCTGCGGGTTAGCGTAACGGTAACGTACATCTATTAGGTAACCCGCTAAGTGAGTGAGCCAACTAACCTGCCAGATTTCAAATTTCTACTAACATTTATTTTGTTATCTTATATTTCAGGTGTGAGTCAAGGACTAATTTCAAAAATAGTTAAGGAAGAGCATGCAGCAGAAGAAACTGGTACAAAAATTTGGACACCAGGCAAGGAGAGAAAACGTAAAAGTGGATTTGTGCAAGTTGATGATTTTAACATGGGAGTTATACGGAGGAAAGTACATGAATTTTATTCTGCCAAAAAAGAGGTCCCTACTGTTAAAAAGCTTCTAGAGGTCTTAAAGACAAATAAATTACACAGGACAGCGAGAGAGTCTGCGAAAGCTGCTTCACAAGTTGGGATTTCGTTTTAAACAATCTCAATCCAATGGAAAGGTTCTTATGGAGCGTTATGAAATATCAGCTTGGAGAGCTAAGTACTTGCATGCAGTGGATAAAAATAATAAATCTCTCCAGCCCCGGCCCATAATTTATTTAGATGAGACCTATATTCACTCTTCGCATACATCGGGTAAATGTTGGCAAGGAGACAGTGAAGACGGAGTATTGGAGCCTGTATCGAAAGGGCAAGGGTATCATGCGGGAGGAGATACTGGATTTGTTACAAATGCACTACTTGTGTTTAAATCAAACACAAAAAGTGGTGATTATCATGACGAGATGAATAGTACCAACTTTAAAAAGTGGGTTATTGAAAAACTTGTGCCTAATTTACGAGAGCCATCCATAATAGTGATGGATAATGCTCCTTATCAAAGTATTTGTGTGAATAAAGTCCCAAATACGAATTCTTTAAAAAAGATATGCAATTATGGTTGACCCAAAATAAAATTGACTACGGAGAGAATTTGACTAAACCTCAGCTTTTAGAAATAATTAAGAGAAACAAGCCTGAACCTGTATATGAGATTGAAAAAATTTTAGAAGACAATAGACATAAATGCTTATATTTACCACCTTATCACTGTGATCTCAATCCCATTGAACTCATATGGAGCACAATGAAAAGAAAAGTTGCTGATGTAAATATTGAGCACAAAAATGCTGAAATACCCTGCCTAGTTAGAGAAGCTTTTGACGCTATTACAGTTCATGAGTGGGCACAGCATAGTAAACATGTTCGCAGGTTAGAAGGAGAATACTTAAAACATGATTTGTATTTAGATAAATTTTATTATAGAAGTTGTAAGTGACACTGAAACCGAAAGCGATAGTGATAATGATGATAGTGGTACGGAAATAAGCGGAGTATGGCCTCTCAACCAGGATGAAGTTGTGTATGCAGGTTCATTTAATTACTGTAAACCTGGTTTTCAATAAATTATTATAAAGCAATTTGTTTTTTTTAATTACACTACACTACCACTAGGTACCACTGCTAATTATAATTAGTCAAATCTGGTGTTAGGGGTTAGTTACGGTCATAACTAAATGCTAGACATACATGCATACATAACATGCTAGGGTAGGTACCTACTTAACTTCGCATTAAATGAAAGTTGTATCTCTCCCGTGGAACATTTTATCTGCTGAATTTCCACTTCATTGGATTACTTTTTAAATAAAGCCATTGTTTATTGCTGAGAGACTAAACTGTTAGTGTACCTACGCAACTGTAAATTATCAAATTCTTTTTATTTATTTTATTATTTTTATAGAGGTATCATTATTTTTAATTTGTTTTGTTTTGAATTCTTATTAAACGATTATGTCTAATGTGAAAATTATTTCTTGAAAACTTACTCAATTTTGGACACCTTATATTAATTAGCAACACTGAATCGACGGTGCCGTCCTCTTTCAGTTCACAGATAAGTTGGTAGGACTGTACAAGTAACTCTAAAGATTCTTCAAAGTCCTTCACTAATCGTTTCAGCGTGGACCTTGTAGACCAGGGTTATCAGTCTCTGGAAAAGGATCATACCTGTTATTTTTTTTTTTGTAATATTTGTAAATCAGCTACATCTCTTTTTATTCGATATTCCCTAGAATCAATGTGTTGCTCTATAGTTGCAAAAGAAACATTACAACATTTTTCCATTTCATTGCAAACTTCGACAAGTATGATCATTGTTAATACGAATTTTGTTAAAAGACTTTCAGACAAACCACGACCATGTGTAAGTCCACCCTGAGTTTTCATAGATCTCATCAAAACTTGCTCGATCGTCATATCCGACCAAACTCCCGACCAAAACTTGTGAGTACGTCTAAGAATCCTTAAAGAATCCTTCGGTGAATCGCGTAAATTCATAATCATCATTTATTGTGTCTTTAAGCTTACGCATATCTTGGAGATAGAGATGAGCAGATTTTGCGTATAGAAAGTGCCCACTTGCATGAAAATAAAGAAGCATTCTTTCCACGCATTTTAAATGTAATTCCCAATTACCTGAACGTTCAGCCCGTATGAAATCTTTAACCAATGAGATCATTTGCCAGTACTGCATCCAAAGTTTTGCGGTAGGACCTCTTTTTTTGTACTAATTTTAGATGCTCGATAAATTTTTCTTTTATGATCTGAAAATCTTCTTGATGCAAATTGTCTTCGAAATTTTCAGTTCCTAAATCCTGCAAAAATGTATCCATTAGCCCCTTTTCTGTGTCCGACAACTCCATCGATGAAAAAATTAATTCAGACAAGCCGAGCTGTACTAGAAAATGTCCTCTGATAGCTCGTGCATATGCGTGCTAGGAGAGAGCTTTGTCGGACGAATTTTCTGCATATATTTCACAAAAAGCCTCCTTTAGTCCATCCCTGATGAATCCAATCGCTCCGAGGAACGACATCATTAAATGAAATCCCCCAAGTCTTACTTGGATTGAGGACAAATTGTAAGGATCATTATTTAAATCAATATTGGCCAAGATTTCACGAGCTTTATAGTAAAGCGGCTGGTCAAACGTTAAGAACACAATTTTTTGCTCTTGTTTTTGGCCTTGCTTAGCCGCTTCTACCAACGATGTAAAAATGGTATCATAATCACTCGGTGGATTTTTTTATAAATGGCACAGGAATAATTTTTGAAACATGATAAGTCAACCATCGGATTTGTTGTTTGCAAATTTTGAATAACTCCATGTAAAATCTGCCGAAGAAATTTCATAGTTGTCCGTAACATCTAAAACATCTTCTATCTGAACTGTTCTTAATCCATCAGAGTTTTTGTTTTCAAAATGTTTCAATTTCACGAATCCAAAATCACCTATTTCTTCAGAAGATGGAATCTGTTTTAATCTAGAGATGCTTTTCTTTGAAGTAACACTAGACGCCGGAGTAACAACCATTATTCCACCCATTGCGTGAAAAATATTTTTGCCATCAATCGTGCATGTATTATGATCGGCATTGTCATAAACGAATTGAACATATGAATCTGGAGAAACAATATGATTAGTAGGGTCCTTGATAATCGACGCTTCAAAGCGCAAAGTTTCTTTGTATGAGGAACAAACCTAAATTGGATAATGAGTCGATCAATCCTTTCGAGGCATATTTTTTGTAAATCATAGACGACAAACCAAGTAAAATTGGAGATAATAAAGAACGTGGCCTTACAGATGTGATGATGCAATGAGACATTTTGGCCACTTTTTTATCCATCCTACGAACGTTATTTTTACTTTTTTCTTTATTACTCTTACACACAACATTAAAAAAAACTTGCAAAGTTTCAGGAACATCCTTAAAAAGATTGCCTTCGTTTATATCGAGAGTTTCGTAGTAATTCATATCATATACTTTAGAACGTATATCTTCTAAAACAATTTCAGCAGCCATTTCAACAATTCTAGTTCGTTCGTCTTCTTTACTTTTTAATGTTTTTTCGTACCTGTCTTTGCAGAGTTTCTTACATGCAGTACCATTTTTGTATAAAAGAATCATGTCCCTTTTCATTAAATGATACTCGATATCGTTTTGAAAATGCTCTTTCAATTTATTTTTAATAGTTGTGTAGTCTGGAAGATCTCCTGAAAATCCCTCTTTTATTTCATTTACAGAAAATTGACATTCTGTTTCGTTGTCAACTATATAATTAATAAGATAATTAATAAAATTCTTAGTGTTTTCACATGCTGAGCGACCCTTTTTTCTTTCTGTTCTTTTGTTATAAAAATTAGCCATACAAGCAGTGTGATAATGCGCTTTTACTGCGACTAAATCAGGAACATTTTTCAAACGAGCTGAAATCTTTTTATCGAAATCATTTAATGTGTTTTGTTTTTGAATATATATATTATCTCTTGTATCGTTGCTTTAAACACATGAATTTTTTTCTTTTGAAATATTACCGAAAAATCCACCGCAGAGAAAGCAATGATTCAAAATTAAATCCAAGAGCATCTTTAATTACTTCTTTTCCTTCCTTTGCTTTTTTTTTGTCTTGAACTACAAAATGTAGCTATTGCAGTCTCATCATTATATTGACATTGACAACTTCGATGAATAAAAGCTGATGTCAAAGTCTCAAATTTTTTGTATTTATTGTCGATTCTTTTCTTGCTGGATACTACTAGACGATTCAAAGCTGTTTTTTTTATTTCATACACTTGCTTATCATCTGCCTTATTGCAGATTATACAAACAGATTCATCCATACTGATAATCTGAACAGACAAAATCGAATTAATAATGCCTTCACTATTTTATCGTGAGTATACACCCCCATGAAAAAAATAATATTAAAGAAATAAATGTCAAAATGTCATCATCATCAACAGCCTTTAATAGTCCACTGCTGGACATAGGCCTCTCCTTAGAAAGGAGGTTTTGGCCTACTATACCACGCTGGCCAGACGGGTTGGTATAGGGTTTTTTCAAGTTTTCCTTTTCTTTTCAGTGCTGTTGTCCTGCGTAGTTTGTTCCCTAAGTCGCCTCTTACGACACCCACGGGATGAATAGGGGTGGTGACGTTCCATATTCTTAATCCCACACGGTCAAAATGTATAAAAAATATATAATAAATATATTAAAAATCTATAAATATATTAAAAATACGTATAGTAAATATATTTTTAATAACTAACTTTTGGCCGATTTTCATGTATATTTCATATATTTTAAGTATTAGGTCTTTACCTATGAATTTGCCGTTTTGTATGCAATAAGTGAAAGTACTTATTTTTTCAATCTTTTTTATTTCTGTTATTCGAAGTAATCACCCATGCAATCGACGCATCATTGCCAACGCATTGGCAGTTTATTGATGCCCTTCTTCTAAAAATCAGCTGGACGGGAGGCAACAAACTCTTCAAAGGCATTTTGTACTGCCTCTCGTGAATTGAATTTTTTACCCGCTAAAAAGTTGTCTAAATTTTGGAAAAAGTAATAGTCGGTAGGTGCAAGGTCTGGTGAGTATGGCGGATGAGGGAGAGCTTCCAACCCCAGCTCTTGCAGCTTGGAGACTGTTGCGCAGTATGCGCGTTGTCGTGAAGGAGCAGTGGGGACGACCGATTGACCAAAGCTGGTTGCAGATGTGACCACCAGACCTATTTATACCTTATTTATAATAATAATTTAAAAAAATCGAATTCGAGTTTTTTTCGATTTTTTGCTTTTTCTGAGAAGATTTATTATTGTAACATATATTTTTTTTTACACCATTGGAAAGTAGAGATTTCAACGGACAGAAAACATACCAACTTTTTGAAAAAAGCTGATATTTTGACGGGTGAATTTTCGATTAAAAATAAGGGTGCTTTTTCGATATTAATTCAAAATAAGGTGAAAAAATAAATATTTTTAATCAAATAAATTACAGCGTATTTGGGACATAAAAAGGTAAGATTTCACCAAAGGACATGGCCAATTTATACAAGGCCCTCTGCCTAGCTTGTAAAAGTTCATGTACATTAACGAAATTTTGCTTTTTGGAATTAAATTTGTCCTAAAAAATATAATGTATATGTTACATATTCCATGTACTTCAGATTTTTTAGATATTTACATAAAAGGATGTCATGTTTTAATCCTTCTTAAACTTAAAAGCAATGAGTTCATAGAAACTGTTTTGCTTTCATAAAAACTACAGGCGTTCGGAGCACTGAAAAGGTATTAAATGGATACATAATAAAAATAAATACGATATTATTTTTAAAGACGACCGTGGTAGTAAGTGCGTTTGAATTAAGTGGCCCTAGTTCGGTTTCCAGTCGGTAAAACATGCTTAAGTTTATCCTGAAAAAGTATTTTTTAACGAGGATGCGATAACTAAGAAATATAATTATTAAATACTTCAAGATTATTTTAAGTTCAGATTTTAGATTAAGGTGCGCTGAAGGACTGAGTGGATGCTTAATGGATTGGTAATGGGTGAAATAAAAAAATATAGTTTTTATATAAAATGTTTTATTATGACATTTAATATTCAATCATTCGAACTAAAATATTATCTAAAAATGATGCTGGTGGAGTAATATTGGTCTGATGTCTAGCCCAACCTAGGTACCAGATCATTGTCATTACATGACAACAACATCCTACGGTCCTGTTGCCAACTAAGCAGCTGCAATAATAACCTAAAATAGAATCTAGTGAATAGTTGTTACTGGGCTCAGTATCAAACAGAATATATGTATAATATATCCTTTGACTTATATGCCTGGACTTTATACGCCCCCTTAATAAATAAGGAGTGTACCCGCCTACCTGTAGAACCATTTCTTGAGAATGATCCAGTTCTGGGCACACTTCCACCTCGTAAACCCCATTTGCTCTTATATGTTCACCATAATATGATCGTGCCTGTTTTACTTGGTACGGACCTAATGCGATTAACAACAACTGATCATACGAAAATATTGGAAATCTTTCCAGTTGCGGTAGATTACCATCAATTCTTCTAAACATAACTCTGCGTCTGTTTAAATTATAATCATTTACAAACTGCCCTAGATGATTTAGTTCATCCATGAACCGCAATGCTCTTTGAATAATTTGCTCACAGTAAGGATTGTCTATGAGAACAGGGTGGAATTTATTCAAAATAGCAGCTGCTATCTTGAAATCAATCATTAAATGGGTAGCAGCTTTATTAAAATACCGTTGCCTAAACAGTTTAAAATCTCGTTTGAATCTGCCGTTAACAACTTCAACGACCCATCTACAAAGTGTTACACGTCTACTTTTGTTAGCTTGAGAATAAGTTAGTTGAGTCATGTCATTAGCTCTAAAAAGTCTACGATAAGAACTATTTTCATTTTCTAACAAATTGGTCATGATCTCAGCATCGGTCTGAGTAGCAGGAAATGGACCTACAACATCAATAATGTGTCCATCACATGAAACAATCATGAATGGTTTCACTAAATTATCATATTTGTGTAAACTATATGTTTTCTTTTGAAACATATAGTTTGCACTTTTCTGAAGATAAATATAAGTACCATCAAACATGAGTATAGCAGGTCTATTCTCAGGTGCTACTTCTGGATCACCAAATAGAGCATAAGGAATTCGTAAATTCCTAGAAACAATTTCAGAATGACTGATATGATTTGCTCCTATATGTTGCGGTACAAAATTCTCATAAAGGCAAGTTCTCACTTTTTTCATTGTTAGTTCTAAAGTAGATCTAGGAATATTAAAAATTGTTGACAACCTTCTGTTACTTTCACCTGTTCTTAACTTGGTTAAATATATTGCCAGGGCTGTTTTTTGTTTCCGTACATTAAGTGCAGGGAAACTATTTAAAAAGCTTAAGAACTCACTTACTGTTAGTCCTGTCCAGTAATGACAAAAATGATTAGGCATTTCATGAATATTTTCAAAATTAATATATTCACCTGTAGACTTAGATATTTTGATTATATCCTCTATTTGATTAGCACTAAAAGAAGAAAATGTTATGATGTTTTGTGGCAACAGATGCCATTCATCTGTGTATAAATGTGACTCACAAACTCTTGAACTACGAGGTATATAAAAGTTGTGATCATTTAATAAAATTCTTTTTATAAAGTAAGGAATTAGATGAAATGATCTGTTATTACATCTGTAAAATATGCAATGAGCAGAGGTATTTGAAGCACGCTTATAGTTTGGTAACATTATTTGTGTTGGACTATGAGTTGGTGGCAAAACATGTGATAAAGGTAAGTTAGGAGGCTCTGGTTGAACTGGTATCAATGCATCTTCATGCTGGATGTTATCCGAAGACTGAGCAGTTTCTTCTCGAGATGAGTCATGATGTAATTGTCTGTTACTTCTCATCCAGCAGGGATGACAAATATAGTTCCTTGTTATTCCCTACAAGAAATAAGTAGCTGTGAGTAAATAATTAAATAATAGAGAATAAAGCTAATGTATTTAGAATAATTAAATACAGGTAATTATAGAAACCCAATACATACCTGAAGTCTTGTTGTAAAAGAAAAGTCCAGAAGAAGTGGACTCTCAGACTCAACAATGTGATGTCTTGCATCCCTCACTGATCGGCCACAACCAAGACACACCATTGTATGACCCAGGACTCTTGCACTTGCATCTTCTGAAGACAGCAGTAAGAAGCATGGGTGACAAATATGTCCATCTTCGGGAAGCTGAAAGACATAATTCATTAAGAAACTATAGGTGTAACCACGTTTTTTAATTATTATGGCATTAATAAAGTTCTAAACAAACATTTTATATACATGAGTGATAAATAATATTGTAAACCAACTAGTATTATGGTTTTAATTAACTAAAGAAATATAGTTGTGATTTAAACCATTGACATTGACAGATATAGAACAAGCATTGTCTCTGCAGATATAGAACCTCATAATCATTGTGTATTTTGCAATTGTGTAAAATAATATGTTGTGGTTTTACAAATAGGTACATACCTCGGTTGATAACCATCGTGCAAGCGTTGTTTGGAAAGGCATTGTTAATGAGGATGCAACATGTCGTTTTAACCGTCCCGTGGCTATCCCGCAGTTAATACACCTCATAATTGAATATTTATTCAACAATATTCGAAACGTACATAAAATCAAGTCGGTAATAACAAGCACTCAAAATAACGTTTTGGCAATCTAATCAGTCCGTGAAGAAAAGCAATGGTCGTTATAATTATGGGTAAACGTTGAAAATCGCACTATTCACACAAAAACGCAAGCGTAAATAATACACAAAGTAGGTAGGTACTTTTGTATAAATAATACAACGTGAGCAAAATGCCAAAATTCTAAAATATAGTGACAGATCCGCTGTCATGATAACATAGCATTACGTTTTGTTTAGCAAATCACAAAGAAGTATAATTACTATGAATTAATAACAATCATTTATAATATTTTTATATATGTACATAAATATCATTACTATATTGATTTTTAATCTTTAGTACTATTTTGAACCAACGTAATTATTTTTACATATTTACGCTGGTTTTATACGTAAACATTACTTTTACTGGAAACACGTTTTCTCAAAATGGCGCAGAACCTGAATGTATAGGAAATAAAAAAAAAACTCTTTAATCTTGTGTTAACACTCGGAAGTTAGACAGAAATATGAAGGATGCCATAATTTATATATTTCTTTTTATTTTCTTATCATAAGGCTGTTATTAATGTACATGCTACCAAAAAACTAGGCAGAAACTGGCCATGTCCTTTCGTTAAAAAATAATAATTGTAAAAGATAAAAATAAAAAACCAAAAACTTGGTTTTTTGAATTTTTCACATAAATTTTGAGGTTATGAGAAAAAAGTGTAAATACAAAGGTTTAGTTCTTTTTATTACCTACAACTTTGCCATTTGACTTTTTTCGATAGGACTTTTAGTTTTGCCGGAAATCGAGAAAAAACGTTTTTTACCCTTAAAAACTCACCCCCATCCCCTTCCCGACCTCAGATCGCCCGTAATTTATTTTTACTTTCATTTTTATAATATTCCCCTCCTTTTCTAATGGGTTTCATCCTACTATTATTATTTTTTTTACTTTTTATTATTTTTAAAGGCTTCTACCCTGGTCTATTTGGGCTCTGTCCACTTAGATGACGAATTACTTTCAAAATCTTGGATAGCGCGATCAATTTCAGAATCACTACCTTCACTTGTTGACAGGATCCGCAAGTGCCTGTGACTCGATCAGGGGGGTTGAATCTTCATCATCATCAGAACTTAGGTTTAAATTTTTTAAAGAAAATCGATTTCTATGTTTTCGATTTGAGTTAAAATGTAAACTCAAAATCATTAGTGAACCTGAATAGTTGGATCCCTCACACTTGTGACTGTATTCATCACTGAGATGTGAATATAGACCCAGACAATTAAGATCAGGGGAATCAACATTGGATCTCTTCGACAAGAGACTGCATTCACCATTGAAGTGGTTGCACCTCTCCGACATAACATGATAGTGTTGATCACAAAGATTATAAGACTTAGGACTAGGACATTGTTTGTTATGACTATCTGAGTCTAGTCTTAATCAGATCTCTCAGACATCTCATATTTTTCAAATGCGATCCAGAGTCTAGATGAAGAGGTACATAAGAGACAGAAAGTGGTTAATAAACGTGTCTGGGTATTAGAGTTGTGGCAAGACAGAAAGCTACTGGGAGAATTGCCCACAATATACAGAAAACTAACAAAAAATGCCATTGCTTATCATAATTACTTAAAATGGCCGAATCATGTTTAAATATAATGCTACAAAAATAGCAAAATGGCTTACAAAAAAAGACACGCATTTGAGAAAAACAATTACAGTAATGGGAAAAAATAGTCTGTTTGAGGTATGTTAGCTGCGCATGAAGAACAACTTAGCCTTCTCGCGTGTAGTATGTTAAGCTCGACTGCAGTCCAAGTGAATTAGTGAATTTTGAAAGTACCCTCAAAATGGACGGTACTTGTTTAAGTTTGTTGCGTTTTGGATTTCAGTAATAAGAGTATCATCGATAGGGATAATTTACGTTTGTCTCGCAAACAAGTAATGAAATCCTGAATGTTAGTTACAACTCCTCCACATGCAACAACATTGTCATATGTTAGTTTCACACCCACCCACACCATCAGGCGCTCCCTTGCCTTCGGTAAAATGTCACGTTATGTAGACCATAAATTATTACCATTTAAAATTTTATTATATCATTTAAAATTTTACTTAGATTATTAACTATCATGTAGAACATAGTTTTGTTGCGATATTGAGTCGTCGATCCCTTAAAGTACGTAAGTTTTTTTAATCCGGCGAAAGTAATTTAATTAATTCTTTCCACCACAGGGGTCAAGTGTGCGCGTATGAGTACCGGATCATGTTTTAAATTCTCAGACACAGAAAAGATTGAACTAGTTTTAATAAAATTTGTTGGTGGAAGCAGGGACTGGGCCGGAAGGGCCTGGGTGGCTGACCACAAGCCTGGGGCCCGAGACTAGGTGATGGTAGATGGGATGCTATCGGAAAATACTGAGACACACAAACTATAAAATTTAATTATCAATGATGTAATATTCTACATGTCTATATGTCTATTAGGTACGGATAAATGCCTGGACACACCTGTCATGCAGCCTTCCGATCCGACTCCGGTCCGATATTGCTTAAAGAATCTGATCGGTGCGGGATCGGAAAGGGGTGAGCACACATGTCATGCCCACTTCCTGCTCTTTTCAGATTTGACACTCAGTCTACTCGAAATCGCCAGTTGAAACGGTTGCGAATATATTGCGCGAATGTTGAAACATTTTAGCAATTTTAGCTATTGTGGCTATCTGTTTAGATGAAGAAGATCGACTTAATGCGAAGTCTTCGATGAAGAGTAGTGGAAAACGTAAATATTGGGTTCATGATACGTGGAAAACACGAGACAAAGAAGGAGAGTTTGCCACACTTTTACCTCACCTGTTGGACGACGAAACAAAATTTTATCATTATTTTAGAATGCCGATGGATACATTCAATCGGTTGGAACTTAAACTTCAAGAAAGATTAGCCATGCAAGACACGTATTTTAGAAAAACTATCACTCCTAGACACCGTTTGGCTACATTTTTAAGGTAAGATACTTTGTAATTTACATAGTTGTCGAATCATCCGTTTATAAATGCCGGTCACTTAAAATCTGTTAACAAGCCTATCTCTGACTCTGTTTAAGATATTGACATGACACTTAAAAATTAGGTAAAATATTAAACGTAGTTATAATAAATTGTTATTAAAATTATTCAAGCCTTTTTAAGATAGTGGCCATTTTACATCAAGATATTGTCATAAAATAAAATAAATTACAATCATAGTGTGTGAGTAAATCTTCATAAAAAATGGTTCAGCCGTAACAAACTATAAACTATAGGGATGTAAAATGCTTGCTAATCCCCTTCACACCTAAGTGTTTTTTACTTTTTTGAAAGTGCTTTTTCCTTTAAATCAACAAAGAACTATATTGCGGCTAAGCAAGAATCATTGGTACAGGGACAATACATTACTGCTTTTTACTGGAATTAGAGCATAGTAGACACAAGGAATTTTTCAAAAGAGAATTTATTAATATGTAATTACATAGTTACATCAAAACATAGATTTATTAAAGTTGAAAAAATGTTACGTTGGTGTACGTGTCAGCATTGACAGCAGGAGATGATGATGTTTGTGGTACACCACTCGAAAGATGTCCATCTAAACACGATCCTTCTTCTTCTGACAGTGTGAAAGATGTTGTGTCAGAGGACACATTCCTTGTAACAACCATAGCAGTTTGTCGGTTGTTATTTTCACGAAGCTGCTCTAGTTCATACTCTTGAACAATATTAAAGATCTTCCCTTTGGCAGAATGTAAGCGCAGAGGATCCAGTGATTTCAGAGATGCAGCAATTCCAGACAAAAATACATCAACGGGATGCTGTTCGTCATTGTCACTAGGTTTTTTTTTCTTCTCAGCTTCTTTCTCAGCCAATAAATATGCCATTAGCTGAGATGATGCAGATTCTCCAGGTTTCATTTCGGTATGTGGGAGCTTTCTTTTGCGTTTTGCAGATGGAGTCCTGTTGTCGATAGAAACTCGACTAGCTGATGGAGTTCTAGGTGGTAGCAACGACTCGGATTCTGCAGTCCCATCAGAGACATACTCATTTATATCTGCATTTATATCATTGTTTAGGTTCTGCATTTGGGGGTCATCAGTGGGTTGGGTTTCATTATTTTCTTCCGCTTCATCAGGAACGTTACCTATACCTTTCCGCTCGGCGAGGTTAGGAATCAGAAATTCAAGAATGGTCTCAAATTTGTATTTATTTGAAGATATAGCCGCCTGTCCAGATTTGGTTTTCCGTTTTTGTCTCGCTCTTCGCAGACTGTCACGAATTCCGTTCCACTTCTTTTTACATTCCTCCTCTTGACCTAAAGAATCAAAAATGTATAATTAAAACTATTATAATTAGATAGCATCATAGCAGGAAAATAAAAAACCTTATTAAATTATTAATAATTATTGATTAAATATAGTTTGTATGTGTATTAGTATAAGTTGTTTGTTACAGGTTTCTTGCTACTGGAGATTCTTTCAAGACCATCTCATTCACTTACAGAATGGGAAGAAGTACAGTTGGTTCCATTGTTCATCGTACAAGCAGAGTTGTAATTGAAGTACTTTTAAACGAAGTAATGCCAGCTCCGACAGAGGACAGGTGGAATGAAATAGCAATCGAATTTTGGGAAAGGTGGCAGTTTCCCAATTGCATTGGTGCTTTGGATGGAAAACATGTGACAATACAAGCTCCAAAAGCATCAGGAAGCCTCTATTGGAACTACAAGAAAACATACTCCATTGTTCTTTTAGCGCTAGTTGATGCTCGTTACAATTTTATTTTTGTAGACGTGGGAAGCTACGGAAGAAACTCTGATGGTGGTGTTTTGGCGAATTCCAATTTAGGTAGAAAACTATCTCGAAACCAACTTAACATCCCAGACAAAAAAGGCCTCCATGGAACAAACATGGAACTTCCCATGGTTATAGCTTTCCCCCTCACAAAAAATATCATGAGGCCATTTCCTGGAAAGAACTTGTCTAACGAGCAAAGAATTTTCAACTACAGATTGAGCAGAGCTCGAAGAATGTCAGAAAATGTCTTTGGCATTATGGTGCAAAAATTTCGAATGTTCATGAGGCCTCTCCAAGGAAATCCTGACAACATAACAAGGGTAGTTCTTGCAGCATGTATCATACATAACTTCATTAGAATTAACGAAGACTACAAAGTGCCAGAAGTAAGTGACAATACTGACACAACTCCAGTGGAGAAATCTCGTCTTCAGGATTTTCCTCGTCGCCGAGGAGGGGAAAATCGTGAAGCATTCAATGTAAGAGAGCAGTTTAAGCAATTCTTCAACTCTGAAGAGGGTAGTGTGGAGTGGCAAGAACGCCGGGCTTTCATAGGTTAATAAGTTAGTTGTTCTTCCTTGGAACTGTTCGAAACTATGAGTATTTTATAGCTCTTCTTGTGTTACTTACAACTAAACATTATGGTTTTATATTTTAAAAAATTTGAAAATTTGTGAGAACCTGTGTACAATAAAGAATATGTTTGAAAGTTACTTGCACAAAATCAATGTGTTGAATTAATTATAATGCAAAATAGCAAAACAAATTGAAATAATACAAGTACAAAAGATAGCAAAAATTTGCCAAATTTCAAGCCGATATCTTCAAAATTGCGGCCGGTATCGCGTGACAGACATACGGACAGACAGACAGACAGACAGAAAATCCAAATGCAGATCGAGTCTACTCTCTAATCATAGACTCACTTACGTTCGTCAATTACTATAGATAAGAATAAATACCGGGTGTTTCAAAGGTCAGTTTACCAAACTAATTGAGGTAAACTGATTTATTAAACACAATGCTTTCATAACTAATGTTGCACAACCTGTTTTTGAGCAATGATAAAATCAACTGTGAAGGTCATTGTTAACATTTTTATGTTTTAACTCGGTAAACTGACTTTTGAAACACCCGGTATATTCCTAACGAATAAATCCCTTGAATATTTTCGGAATTAATTAATTTATTTATTTTAATTCACAATTCCAACAGGAAACCCCTTCCCTAGAAGTGGAAGTGGATTTAAATATTGTTATTATGACAAGATTTTAATAGCTTAGTTTAAAACACAACAACTTAACAATAAATATACAAATGTTTTTACCTTCTACATTTAGTTTCTTCGCAACTTTTTTCCACATAATGTCCTTGTACTCCGAGTTTCTATATTGCTCTTGTGCCTGATCATAGAGAGCTGGAAACATTCGGACAGTTTCAATAAGCTCCTTCGCTTTTATACCCGCCATTTCACTGAATTTAACACAAAAACTGCCACCGACAACCTTCCCGCATCAAGTAAACGAATGGTCTGCAATGTCGGAGCATGACGGGATACCGGAATCGGAGACGGGTGGGAGTAGGACGGGTCGCGTGTCGGACAGGTGAGACCTACTGCATTCCAAACCATTGTTTATTCCAATATCATACAGTCGTCCCGCTGTATGACCGTAGTCGGATCGGAAGGCTGTATGACAGGTGTGTCCAGGCCTTAATAGCACATCAGGTTACCAACTACCGGTATAAAAGGACCTCCCTTAAACAACCTTAAAAGACCTCCTCCCTAGGCATGTTTCATATAACTCGAGCTCAGTTCAAGGTCAAAGTATAGTAAGCTTTTAGATATTTCAATAATTATTAATTATATCAAACACATATTTAAGAAAGGTGTTTTTGTAAATTGTTTGACACAAGACTAATATTAATTATGTATATAGTCTCTTCTCTAACATTAATGAGCTGTAGGTTATTTTATTTTCCTAGTATTTAATACACATGTATATTACCTACTACATACCTTTAAATATTGTTTTTGTTTTTAAATTACGCTCACATAAATTAGCAACCATTGAGTGCTCGGTTACTTGGGCAATGATGTCCTTTTATTGGCTTTTGTATTCAAACATGAGTATTAAATATAAACTGTTGAATATCTCAATCAATAATAAAATTAAATAATGAGTATAACAAATAATATATAAAGCTAGCAAATTAACATTTTTTTTAAAAGAGGAGTACTTTCAGGTAAGCAGTTAATGACTCGATCAAAAAAGCTGCTGTTCTCGTCATCCTTGATTAGATCCGATTCTGTGTTTAATATGATCAACGAATCCAACAGTTCTTGCCCCAGTAGAGAGCGAAGTCTCGTTTTAATGCGCTAAAACACTGAAAATCGTTTCTCACAAGTCACTTGCATGAATGAAATTGTGAGAATTACACAATATGCAACATATAAGGTTGTGTACGTGCTGATATGCATGTTATACTGTAATAAAAGTTTACATGCACATGGTATGCAACTTTGACATACGTCCAAACCACTTCTGGCAAAACACATGGCGTCCTTTGCTGTTTGGTCTAAGTCTAAGACATCTTCGTCGTCTTATTCTTCACTTTGTCAATCTGAGTATTGCTTATGTTGCCTAGGTGAAATGTGTTCAATTGAAGAAGACAAAAGACAGGAATTGTCAAAAATTCTGGTGTACATTATTTAAAATAATGAATATTCCACGTTCTTATATTGGAATCCCTAAAAGCTGTTACCATTTAATAGAATGAATTAAAGAGGCATTAAGTATTCCTGTTAACCATATACTTGTGTTTAAAAAAAAAGGTTAAATAACCCATTCAGAGAACTTGGTTGTGATAGTGCTACACATCACATCACATCAACAGCCTTTACTAGTCCACTGCTGAACATAGGCCTCTCCTTAGAAAGGAGGTTTTGGCCTACTACGACGGGTTTGTTTCAAGTGTTCATTCTCTCTGCAGTGCTGTAGTCCTGCGTAGTTTGCTTCCTCAGTAGGCGCTTACGACACCCACGGAATGAATAGGGGTGGTGACACTCTGTATTCTTAATCCGTCACCACACGGACACAGATAGTGCAACAACCACGTAATTATAAAACTTCACATACATGGTATTTTAAAAAGCCCTTAGATAGGAGTCCTTTTGGGCACGATAGTGAAAAAGGAACGAGAACTTGTGTCCGGTAGCATAGAGGTTAATGCAGTGTTGGCATTAATCAATAATTTTTTTAATCAATTAATGAATTTGATTAATTTTAATCAGAGAATGATTATTGACGTTAATCATTAATCACTAATAATTAATTGATTAACTTGATTATAAACTAAATACATCCATCAATGTTATTAATTCTACATAAAAGAAATGATGGAAAATAAAAAATGACACATTTCTTAAAATATTTTTATTAATTATTCAAAGAACAAAAAAAATATTTCTAAAGTTCAAATACACTGAATTCTAATTTTGAAGAATATTTTCACATACATTTTTACATACAATAAACACTTTGCCTATAACAGGATAACTTTGTAGAAGCTCTCGTTCTTGGCTGCCCTCGGCAAAAAAAATTGAAATGATCCTATCCGCTTTCTTTTTAGCATCAACTGTTTCCGCTTCACTGCCAGAGTCGGAATTAAAATAAAAAAACTCGTCTTCTTGGTGGCGTGTGTTATTGGCTGCATTGTTGACTGTTGAAAGCTCTGGGATTTCTGATATTTCTTTCCTTACGACTGGGGCACGTGGCACTAAAGAGCTCCTTATTATTGACATGACTATTAACCAACAAGTTCGCCGTAACCGAAAAGATCTGTCGACATGTTGGATAGATTATAAAAAGGCTTATGACTCTTTACCGCATACGTGGCTCTTGAGGGTGATGGAGTTGTACAAGATTGATACAACTCTATGCACTTTTATGGAGACATGTATGCGGCAATGGAGAACGGTTCTTTGCTATCCAGGATGTCGGCAATCTCAAGGCGATGGCGAATATATAATGATTAAGCGGGGTATATTTCAGGGTGACAGTTTAAGTCCCTTGTGGTTTTGCTTAGCTTTAAATCCTCTCAGCACTATGTTGGAGGGTTCAGGGCTAGGCTATCGTTTGCAGAGAGATGGTAAGGTTATATCCCACCTCCTTTACATGGATGATTTAAAACTGTTTGCTTCCAGTAATTCCATACTGATAAATTTATTAGAAATAACTAAAACCTTTAGTAAATGTATCAGGATGGAATTTGGTGTAGATAAGTGTGCAATCATGCATGTAAAAAGAGGCAGGTTTGTGGAGTCTGATAGGTTGGAACTCTCAGATTCCACGCACTTTACATGTCTCTCAGCTAACGAAACTTACAAATATCTGGGTATGTCACAGGCGTTATGTGTAAATGAGTTGACTATGAAACAATCGTTACAGGAACGCTTCTTTAGCCGCCTGAAAAAAGTATTAAATAGTCTTTTATCAGGTGGTAATAAGGTCAGAGCCTATAATGATTGGGTCATACCAGTTCTAACTTACTCTTTTGGCATACTTAGATGGACTCAGACTGAACTAGATACCCTGGATAGAAGAGTTCGTACATTGCTTACTGCATACCGAATGCATCATCCACGTTCATCGGTGATGAGGTTATATATTCCACGAAAATGTGGTGGTCGTGGTTTTCTAAATGCCAAGACCCTCCACAATCGTGAGATATGTAACCTTAGGAATTGCTTCCTTTCTGTTAATGTGGATATTCATAGGGATGTAGTAGCAGTTGATAACGGACTCACTCCGCTTGGTCTAGGTAAAGAGAACTGGCGCAAATTTGCAGTACTCAACATTTCTGATCGTAAGGAGATATGGAAGAGCAAAGAGCTGCATGGACGTTTTTATCGAGTCTTGAACAGGCCTGAGGTCGATCAACTAGCGTGTGTATTCTGGCTTCGATTCGGTGACCTCTTCGAGGAAACTGAAGGTTTTGTCTTTGCAATTACTGATGAAGTTGTTATGACGAATAATTATCGGAAGTATATCCTGAAGGACGGCACAATAGACATTTGTCGGGCATGTCATTGTCCTGGTGAAAGCCTTAGACATATAATTTCCGGTTGTTCTCGTCTTGCCAACGGCGAGTACTTGCATAGACATAACCAAGTGGCCAGGATTGTCCATCAGCAACTTGCTCTTAAGTATAACCTTGTGACTGTAGAGTTACCGTACTACAAATATGTGCCCGACCCAGTTCTTGAAAATAGTCGCGCAACGTTGTACTGGGATCGCCCTATTATCACTGACAGGACTATTGTTGCCAATAAACCTGATATAGTGGTAATAGACCAATAGAATGATTGTTGACATTACCATTCCACATGACGACAATCTCTTGAAAGCTGAAAAAGATAAACAAGTGAAATATTTGGATTTAGCCCACGAGATTGTCGACATGTGGGATGTTGATTCGGCAATCGTTGTACCGATAGTCATATCGGCCCATGGATTAGTTGCTAAGAGCCTCGACCAACATCTTCAGAGGCTCGCGTTAGGCAGTTGGATTAAGGGTCTGATGCAGAAAACAATTCTTCTCAATACGGCACGTATTGTGAGGAAGTTTCTGTCTCTGGAGTCCTAACCACCGATATCTTGGTCTCTGTACCCGATACCGATGGGATACTATTTTTTATATTTTTAAATGTATTTTTTTTTTGTTTTTGTATATAAATATATTTAAAAATGTAATTTATATGTATAAAGAATGAAATAAAGAAATAATAATAATAATAATATATTCTACCACATACACACAACGCCATCTAGTCCCAAACTAAGCAGAGCTTGTACTATGGGTACTAGACAACTGATATAAATATATATATACTTTTTTTTTTGTAAATACATACATATTATACATTTTGTAAATACATACATAGAAACACCCAGACCAAATCAAACATCAAATGTTCATGCACACAAATGTTTGACTTGAGCGAGAATCGAACCCGCGACCTTTGGAATAGCAGTCCGTTACACAAACCACTACGCCATCCAGTCGTCCAATATTCAATATATTTTTTAAAGCGTCATAGTAACTATTCCATCTTGTTATGCCAGTGCGTGTTAACGTATGTCCAAGAATGTTATGTATAACCTCAGCTGAATTTGGGCGAGCAGCAGCACTCCATAAATCGTTACAGTTTTCCATTATTGTGGAATGCATTTTTTCAAGACATGTCGATTTATCAGTCATATTCTGGCTGCGGCAGCCAGGCTGCGACAGCCAGAATATTTGCGCACTCAGTAATAGCAGCCAATCAACGACTAGTCTAGATCGTTCCGTCGAGCGATATGGACGTGGAAGAAGTTATAATTATTGCTTACCTATCTCGTAAAAAACGTAAAACAAAGAAAAGACACTGGATTCATCCTCTTTTTTCTAGAAAGACACTCAAGAGGCT